GGCAGGATGACCCTGGCTGGCTACCTTGCTCTACCAATGGTGATCAGGTAGTGGTCAATTTTCATATAGCTCTACAATGGTGGTCCATTGTGCATGTGCTCGGAGCCATCTGACGCGTCCTCAGGTTGTGGATCGAGGAACGGCCGTCCGTTGTGGCGGTTAGCTGCGAATATATCGAATAAGCAGCCGCGAACAATCGAGCAAAAACAGCAGCTATAGGACAAGAGGGCTGCCAACCCGAATGTACTGCTGCAAAAATAAATCGGCAAAAACTTTGAGAAAAAGAAGAAGATTTGGACCCGAGATAGGGGTATGAAGACCCCAACTTCAACAGCTCAAACTTCGGTGTAAGGAAGGGGCAGGATAGGAACTACGGACATGTCATCAAATTGCACATAGCCTCCCACAACGTCAGGACACTATCGACGGATCCTCTCCTAGATGTGTACTGACAGCACTTGAAAAGCTGATTTCGTCGGTGTCAGACAAAAAGAGCAAAAGAGGTTTCGGCAAAGTGGGCGAGTGGCGAAGAAGTTCTTTTGGGAAAAGGTGCCGACAACGTGTCAAGAACTGGTGGAGTCGGTTTCATCGCAAAACCGGAGGTGGTTTATCACTTCCTTGCTTGTCCCCACGTGTTGTTTTGAAAACTAAAAGCATGGGGAAGCGAACGCTCAAAATCGTGCAGGGTATGCACCCACAGCGGCAGCAGAAGATGACGAAGCTGAGCGTTGCTACGAGGAAATAGAAGCGGCGTTGAAGATCAAATCGACATACACGATTGTCCAAGCAGACTTCAATGTAGTTGTTAACGCAAGATTAGAGAACCTTGTCGGCAGATACGGCGCAGGCGTAAGAAACGACAAAAGACGTCTGGTCGAATATGCGTAGCAACATCATTTTTCAATCATGAGCACTCTTTTCGAGAAGACCACAGAAGTCTTTTGGACGTGAAGAAGCCCGGATACGAAGACCCTGAGGCAGATCGACCATGTAATGACAGGTACGCCAAGAACGTTGGCCGACGTTTCTGTTATAGGTGAGGATTTGATGGCAACTAGCTCCGATCATTGTTTAATTGGACGGTACTCCTAGATTGAAGACGAGAGAGAGACGAGTGCTATGCTCACAAAGAGCACTCATACGCTATATTTCCAATACAGATACGTTCACTGAGAAGGTAGCATGGTAAGACCTGCGGATGGACACTTCGACGACGAAAAGCATCGATGCCTACTACTACGAACCAGTGGGAAAAGTAACACTTGCTGTAAATGGTTTCAGCACTGCAGCAGTACTCGGCAGAAGTCAACGCTGTCAGCGGAAGCGGTTCAGGTGATGCAGAAGAGAGCACGACGTATGAAGGTCGAAGGAAGAGCGCAGTGCGACGAATATCGTGCTCTCTGTAAAACGATAAAGGGAGAGGATAAAAGAAGACTATGAGGGATATAGGCAAAAGAAGCTTCGTGAAGCGGCAGAAAAGAGGGCAAGCCTGAAAACAGTGGAAAGAGATGTCCGTCTCAGGCAACAAATACCCCCTGCTCTGAAGGACAACTTAGGTGTTTGCACACGAATCAGCAACGGCTGAATGAAATTTGCACGAAATCCTCCAACGATTTGTACTCTTCAAAGGTGTTTGTCACAAACGTCCGCCTAATGTTGCTAGAGAAACGGTCCCAAATGTCATGTGGGAAGAAGTCGAGCATGCAGTGAAGGGGATGAAGACTGGAAAAAAGCCCAGGAAGTGACAATATTCGACCTGAACACCTAAAAGCAGGCGGAATAACTCTATGCAAAGCGTTGGCAGAATGTTTCACCATCTCATCGAAGGAAAAGTTCCAGCGGCGTGGAAGAGATCGAAGGCGTTATACTGATGAAACAAAAAGAGATCCTGATCTTAACAGCTAAGGCCCATCACACTTTTGTCTCAAATATCTGAGGCTTCCACAAACAATAATTCTGAACCGTATTTCCAAGGAATTGGACATGGTCTTGAGTAGAGAACAGGCCGGCTTCCGGAGCGGTTATTCCACGCTCGACCATTTACATGTTGTACGTCAGCTTACGGAAAAATGTGGAGAGTTCCAAATTCCCCTCTGCTTGGCATTTGTCGATTACAGGAAAGCCTTTGATTCGGTGGAAGCGAACGCAGTATTCAATGCGTTGAGCAGATCTTGGCATCAGCATGAATTACGACGAGCTCCTGGAAGAGCTAACTAACGGTTGAGCTCTTCAACGAACCCTGACATAGTATAAAGATATGCAAGGGCGTACGTCAGGAAGATACAATTCCGAAATTCTTTGCAGTTACGCTGGAGGCCCTCTTCGGTAGTCTGCATTAGAACAGCGGCTGAAATAGACGGCGAAAATCTCACGCATTTGCTTTTTGCGGACGATTGCGTCATTTTCGCACAAGACGCAACAGAGCTTCAGGACAAGCTGGTACATAACGAAGTGGATGAAAAACTAGTTTAGCCCAATACCGGAGATTATTGTCGAAGGTGAAGTAATAGAAGAAGTTCAGCGTTACGTCTACTCAGGCAGACGGCTAAATAGAGGCAACTCTATGCTTAATTATCAGCTCAGCTTTACGGAAGGCACTGGAGGAGGATTCAGCAGGCGCAGAAAGGCAGCACTGTCTGGCTTCAACAAAATCTCAACGATAGTGCTAGACGACGACCTCGCAATGAAAATAAGCGCGTCTCTCTTTTACTCCACAGTTCACTGCTGTTGACCATGTCTCGAATACGGAAATTCGAAGGCGAAGTGGCTTTGTTGATATTGTCCAGGAAATGTACAAATGCGAACGAGAGTAGCCCGCTCATGTGGCGCGCCTAACAAGGGAGGTCGTTCAGGGCGTGGTGAGCTTTTTCAAAATGGTCTTGTGCATATTGTAGGGGCACATACGAGGACCAGAAAACTGAGGTTCATTTTCGCTGCGCGCTTCTACGAATAAAAAAAAACGTAAAAAATAGGTCGATGGTTCGGATCCCACCGAGGACAAAATTTTGCTTTTCTACAATTTTTCATTTTTTGGATCCATGTTTGTCTAAATAATTGGTCCTAACAAAAACATTCACGATAAACTGAACAATCCTACTTTTATGGAGCAAAACTGCTTTTTCGTTCGAATTCGTTAGTATGCACAGACTCAGCTCTTCGGCGCTATGCCGGTGCCAGATGGCACTGGAACCGAAAATAAAGTCTAGAATCGTGATCAGGACTGTCGATTACCCCTAGGAGCAAGTTTTGAGCGAAAAAAATTTTTTTGACTTTTTCGGGTTGTAGGTGACCGACCATTTGGTCGGCAGTGTGAGCGGAGTCTCACATCTTCGTAACAGCGATGACGTATCGTTGACGCTACGGACCCCGGACAACCCAATAAGCAAACCCAAGAAGGTCAAAACAATTGTTTTGACCGAAAATTCGTTTTTAGTGGTAATCAGTGGCCCTGATCACAAATATAACACCTATTCTTGGCGTCCACGCAATTTGACAGAATAGCGCTGAACGTTCCCTATATTGGTGTACATAACAAATTCAGTGGAAAGAAGATGTGGCCCCAAATTGTCTATAATTGACACCCCAGAAGTTACTAAATTCGCAATCAGATCCACTGTATAGCCTATGAGGATCAACGTCCAGCAACAATCTTGTTCAATGGTGCGTGAAAATCGAAATAGTTGAATAGCACTGACTCATGAGGTACAGCTACTCAGAATGTGCCCATAAATGGCAAATATCCGAGTTATATTCATGCGCAGACACTAATGGAAGCGAGAACAGCGAAATCTAAAAAATGCAAAAAGCCACGACGCAAGGGGAGCCGAACCATCAACCCCACCCTCACTGTCCGATTGCGAAACCTCCACTCTATCCGCTAGGCCATCCGATGCTCGACTCTGCCAGCGCTCTTATCGTTGATGAAACCATTGCAAGAAGCCGTTCACCCTTGAGCACATGACCCAAGTTGGAAGCTCACTTGCGGCGATTTTTCGCTTCGATTCAAATAGCCCCTTTATAAGGACCCCCACTCAGCAACTGGTCAAAGTTGCAAGTGACCTACGCCGTAAGAGGCCCAGAACGAAGCAGATTCCAAAGATTTCTTTTCACTCGTTTTTTACCGTTTCCTGGAAGCGCGCAGCGAAAATGAAGCACACTTTTCAGGTCCTTGCATGAGCCCCTACAATATGCAAAAAACCGTTTTCGAAAAGCGCACCACGCCCTGAACGACCTCCCTTGTAAGAGATGACAAACAGACTTCAAGGCTAACTGATCGGATCCCTCTGGATCACAAACGATCGCTGGGAAGGCCTAAAATGAGATGGGCCGATCCGATGGTGAAAATGTTCGGCCAACAGTGGAGAAGACGTGCACAAGACCGGAACGAATGGCTCAAAGTCGACTTGCGTGGATGGCGGAATACACGAAGGACAAGTCGGATACATGTGATACAGGTGATACAGTGGTGGTTACAGGAAGAATATATTCAGGAGGAAAAGCAAATGGGGAAACGCCGCAATGGAGTCTGTCCATCCCAAATGGCCCGGCTGAGGGGATGTTATAAATTGTAGTCCCCCAGGCATTTGGAGAGAAGAAAGTATCAGAGCTGGTGCAAACTTTTCAGACTCATTGAAATGCTACAAGGAGCCGCTAGTCCACCGGAAGGGTCATATCGGAATATTCTCCTTATCTCTCGGCTGCTTCAAATGACAATCTTCCACTGGGAAGCCATCCAGTCATGTTCAAATGAGGCACCCAGCTACCACTGTTACCTATGGAGCGTAGAACTGGGCGTATCCACTACTTCCAACGCTGTTCTGGTATGAAAAAATTGTTAGCTCAAAGATTTCAAGAGTGCCCAATTCGACGTTTGAAGCCTCGGCGTTTTTTAGAAGTGCAGTTTGACAATGAAAGCATTTGCTTCAATTAAGCATTTGTCCATAATCTGTAATAGGAAGCGTCCAATTTAGAGGGAAGGGATATAAATGGATATGAAATCTTCAAAAGCTCACAACTGCTGATGAGTTGTATTGTCCTTGGTAGTAAGGTTCATAGCGTCCTCCAAGGCACTTATGCAAGAACTTTTCGATGAAACCATATTGCGCCAACACATTGTTGACCTGAAATCAGATCCAAACGACGATCGAGCATTGAAATGTAATGGGCGAGTCGAAATAATAAACGTTCAAAGTTGAAGGAAAACTATCTACACAAAAAGCTCTGATCAGATGAAATCTGTTCACGTGGAGAGGATACAGTGCACTTCAGTAAGGCTCTGATGGTTTCCCTTTGCAGAGGTTCCATGCCGTTTTTAACGTGCATAGACTCGATGTGCAACCTTATGGATGCACCTATGCTCCACTCATATTTCCGTGGGAGGTTGAATCCACTTCCTAGTGAGCGGTCCTTGAAGGCAGTCCCCGCCCTCAAGTCATTCATGGTTTCCGCAAGAAGTCCGACCCCCACTCTTGCGACTCTACAGCGAGGGAGGAGCACTCTACAGCCGCTGAAAGTTCTAGTTCTAATGCCCGCAGTTGGACCCCTACTTGCTAGATGCCCTCTGCGGAGGGCCGCTCAGTTGTTCCTGTTGGGCGGCGGGCATTAATCGGAATTGCATGTCCTTTTTGCTGACCGCGCTCGTGCCCATGAAGTAATTCTGCTCTCCTTCATTACATTTTATTCATTAGGAGCATATACAGTCAACTGCAACCCATTGCAAGGTAGATCGCACTAAAATCTTGAGCGCAATTTCCTCGGTGTCAAAGCTTGTGCACTAAACGCTGCACGCTATCATAACTCCTTGAATCGTGCGCTGAGTTTCTAAAGGTTCCTTATTGGTAAGTATTTCATTGAATTTGTTGTTTTTCGTATTCTTTTCTTCGCAATGGATGGAATTTCAGCTACACTTTCATATTAGAACAGCAACTACCCATAACACTTTATCGTGGGAACTGTCTTTAAAGGTAGTTGGCACGATCGATTCCCAAGACGTTTAGGACTATTATGCCTAAGAGCACCGAATCCGGCGCTTCTGAAGAGGCGCTGCGTGGCATCTTTTCCGAGGAAGGTATCCTCCTCCCCCTAAGCGCCCCATCAACATACCGACCTGGACGCTCCGCCCGTCCACGAATGTTTGAACTGATGCTAGTATCGCTCCATTTGCGAAATACAACATGAGGCGAACCGATTAGTATGAAGGCTGCGACGCAGCATGCACATATAACTACACACACGACCCGTATATACCGTAGCGGTTACCGGCACAATGCCAAGGATCTCGTCCTGATTTTTTTAAGTCTCGTATATAAAAGCTCTTTTATAGGTTTCTGACCGTTTCACATCCCTTTTTCGCCACTTACCCACTATTTGGCACCTGTGATCCCATTCAGACAGAGTACCAAATCATCGTGCTAACTGCCTCCGAGTTGATGCTGTCTGTGCGAAATTTCAAGATTTTTCCCCTTGATTCACTTTAATCCGCCAAACCTTGAATTGTTTTACTACTTCACCTTAGAGCAGGTCCAGAAACGGTCCCAAAGGCGCCAACGATCGCCAGACGTGCAGAAGCCTTTCATTTTGCAGAGTAGCGCGGTCCGCAGTCGCCCAACACATTCCACTCTTCCGGCTCCAGCGTGTTCGATAAGAGAGCTACGCCCTAGCGACCATAAGCGAGCTCCCCCCACTCGAACGAGATCCACCTTTACTGTTCCGTTTCACCATTACTTTACAGTGGGTGCGGACTCAATGGTTAGTATATCCTCGCGCGATATTGTGGTCTGCTTCTCTTTTCGTCCCTCGGTCTCTCTGCTTCCCACGTTCGTTGAACGCTCAACAGGGTCATGAAAAAGAGCCCATATACCTTTGTAATGCCATGTCCTTCATCGGGATAAAGCACATAGGTCACAGGAATGTTCTTCTTTCGTAGTATGTCCACGAACTGATCTGAATATCTAGATCTCAAATATAAGCGAATTAATTTTGAGATCCAAGCTGCACCCATACGACAGCGAAACAACTCTGAGAAGGAACTCACCAGATTCTCGTTGCTTCACGCGAGGATCGTTGGCTCCTTGGATAATCAGCAGGGGCTTCTTCACGCGATCAGCCAAAAACAGCGGCGAACGAGCGATGAGCGATTGACGGCCGGCCTCACTGAAAACATCAAAAACTCACACACTCAAATACTCAGAAAAGTATGATGCCCACATTACCAAGAAAAACTCACTCATCGAGATCGCTTCCCAATCTTCGAACAAACGCTTTGCGTTCCCAGTATGGCGGGATCGTCTCTAGAAAGGTGACCAAATTCGACGGACCATCAATGTCCACACCACAGACGAACTCTTCCGGAGTGAATGTGAGCGCAACTAGTGTTTCATAGCCACCATAGCTTCCACCTTCAACACTTGTTACCACTTTTAGCTTTTTTCTTCTGGTTCTCTTCTAATTACTGACAAGGCTATCGACGGCGATGAGCCAATGGAATTCGTAGGTAGCGGAACAAGAAACAGAGATGTATGTGCTAGTTGGCTTGCCCGTGTAGGAAAAAAATGAAAGGAAATGGTCAAGACTCTTTTGGCAATGTTCCACTCGTGCCAGGCAAGAGAAAAATAATCGATGTCGAAATCGACCACAGAAAGCTGCGAGAAAGTGTGCTAAAGAGCAAGACAGCAGAGCTCAGACAGTTATAGCTCGTCGCGGGCTCCGCCTCTACCTTATATATCGCCCATATCATAAGGCGACACGCACAGTGCAGTTCTCAGCGGACGGTGGGGCGGTCCTAAGGCCACGCTGGCGAACGGCCCGATAGTTGCCTGTTGGTGGAAAACTTTGCCTCTGCGTCTCTGATACTGACTCTGCGCTCTAAAACACGCCGCCACAATCTACTCACTCTTCCGTTCTGGACTCTCGCCGATCGATAATTGCTCTCGATCAGCTGATTCCTGCCGCATTTTCGCAGTATTTTTGCTACATTCAGCTTGTTAAAGCTGAATTTTTCGAATTTCGACTTCATTGTTCGAACGCATTCTTACCGAAACTATATCACATTTTGCATGAGTTTAGCATGAAATGAAATTGT